TCAATGAGGTCGCATTCACAGTGTCCTCCGCTAGCTTATTCCAGGTATACACAATCCTGTTGGTCAGGAAATTTCTTCGCAGCAACTGGTTACAACGTTCTATGTGGAGTTTTTTGTTGTGTCCTCTAAGGTTTTCAACTTGACTAGGGTGAAACATATCCAGGTAACACCCGTAGTGGCCGCTCGTGATTTTAAAGGTTTCAATAAGGTCACCCCTCAGCCTTCTATCTCTTAAGTGTAGTCAAGTACAGCCTATTGAGCCTGGTTTCGTATGGGAGGTCTCGGAGCTCTGGAGGGATTTTGGTCATTCTTCTTTGCACTCTTTCAAGGATTTCTATGTCCTTGATGCAGTAGGAGCTCCAGGTGCACTGCCCGTACCTACTCCAGTTTAGGTCTTACATAATATGTCTTTTACAGCTTCAGGATCATCGCGCTGGAATGATCTCGGAAAGCGGTCTTGATGTTTAGGTATTTGCCTTTTTGACTATCTGGGATATATGCTGTTCCCATTTCAAATTATCTTTTATATCGACACCGAAATCCTTCTGGCGTTTAACTTTGGTGACCTCTGTTTGATCAAGGACATGTGTAAGTCTTGGGTTGTTTTGACCTATTTGAAGAATGGTGCACTTTGTGTTGTTAAGAGGCATTCTCCAGAGGTCCGTCCAGCCCTTGATGGTTCCAAGGTCGTCCTGGAGGTCATTGAATTGCTCCACGGGATTACAGTACAGATTACAAACCCGCATACAAATCACTCAGGTAAACGATGAACAGCAGGGGTCCCAGAACTGAGCCCTGCGGCACACCACTCCTCCGACACTGCCGATCCCACTCGTACCTGAAATGTTCGAGGCCGAAGGAAGCTGCAAATGAACCGCAGAAGCTGTCCTCTAACACCGTAGTGCTGAAATTTGTAGATGAGCAGGCTGATAGGATTCTTGTCAAGTACACAACATCTATGGGTTGTTGGTTATTATCAGCATAAGTCCATTTCTGCAGTCTGGTCAAAAGGTTTGTTATAGTAGACTTCCGAGGAAGAAAGCCATGCTGTTCATTAGGGATGATATGGTTGTCCCAGGAAGAAGGTTGTTAGCTCACCTACTAGTATTTTCTCCATGCATTTGCAGATGACACTGGTTAAACCTATTGGCCTGTAGTTTTCAGGTAGTTGTTTGTTGCCTTTCTTAAATATTGGAACAACGCTAGCCTTCCTCCAGATCTCAGGTAAATGCCCTGTGCGAAATATGCCATTCATTACCTCCGATAATGGCTTACATAGTGTCTCTTTACACCGTGATAAAAATACTGCAGTAATTTGATCCGGTCCAGGGCTGGTGTCGGTCTTGAGGGAACCCATGGCTGCCATCACTTTTTCAGGTGTAAACGTTATTTCTGATATTTTTATCTGTGAATAGGTGTTCGGTGACAGAGCAGGTATAGTGTCAGTACTGAGAGGTTTCACATAAACACTTTGGAACTGTGCAGCGAAGGACCTGGCCACATCCTCTTGTGTGTCAAATATAATACATATTAGTGTTTTGGCGATTAGGCTGAAACTGGCGTGTTTGAAATTGTGGCTACGATTTAAACATGCATAAAAATGTTTGTCGTGGCCAGCTAGAAGAATGTGCTCATAGTTTTTTCGTGTCTCTGAGATGTAGTATTTTGTTCTGATGTTCTGAATACGGTACAGAGAATAGATTTCCCCGAACATCTCTTTGTTCAACCAGGGCTTTTGAGTATTTGTTTTTTTGGAATTCAGGGGGATGAAGTGGTCTATACTTGTATGGAAGGCCTGTTCTAGGTTGTTGTAGTTTAATAGTTCTTCTTGGGTTAGTTGATGTTGCAGAAAGGTATTTATTTATTCGTAGTCAGCATGCCAGAAATCGCGTTTGTAGACCTTGTGGGTTGGTTTAACTGGGAGTTGCAATTGAGCTCTGGCTGTTATTACTACATGGTCGCTGCAGCCCAAGGGTGCAGGCTCTTTGAGATCAAAAATGTTTTTTAGTATAACATAACATACCCGGGTTCGTTCAGCAAGATTGAACAGTGTGAATTTTTATTACCTTTTAAACAACAAATCTTCTGAAAAATAAAATGAAAAACAAATAGGACCTACGTTGTGGAAACTTACTCAATTTTACTTAATGGACATGCGCCCGACATAGCAAATATTTGGGAAATTTAAGGGAAGTGGTGATATGTAAAAGAAACGAAAAATTTGTGAAACGTCTACTTTATTATTAAAGTAAATCGTACCGTTCTCATCCTGGAACTAACTAGGGGAGAGAAACCCTCGATCTAACATTCCTCAAAAATCGAAACATACTGTGTCAGTTTAATAATAATTGTGAGTCAATAATTCAATAAAAGTTGAAACTAGGTACCGCCCCTGTTCTTGTGCTAAAATTTTAATTACACACACTACATTCAATCAACATTACCTATAATCAACACTGAAGAGTTTTTGTTAGTTAGCCCATCTGCGGCAGGTACTGAGGTCCCTGGTTACGGTAACTCACAGCTATCGTTGTTTTTGAGCCAATATCTCCAGATTGATTATTTCAATTTGTTAGGATATTCTCTCGTCAGGGTAGGAAAATGTTAGTAAATTCAATAAGGCTCTTATGCACGTTCCGAATACACAAAATCAAAATCAGCACAAAAAGACAGCACATAATTTCTTAGGTTTTAATTTACTTTATCTGCGTTGTTTATCAGCATGAAACGATTTTTGTTAAATACATAAACAATGCACTTGTTATAAAAAATTGTTATGAACAAACAAAAAAACATAAAATTGAAAAAAATGATACTTGTATAAATAATGGAACTCTTAAAAACAAAATAACAATTATTCAACTGACCTGTGATTGCACCTGGACACACACACTAATAACAAATTGGATTGAACAATCAATTTAATGCAAAATAAAAATGAAAATTGAATAATGAATAATTATAGACACGCGTCTAAGGGACCAGTCCAGCTTGTTCTCCCGTCTCTCTAATGCCTAATCGCCTCTTCTCTACCTCCCGTTCGTTTTTTTTTTTAAGTTAAGATTTGAAGAAATAATATTTTAAATAGGTGGTTTTCCTCAGTTTTTATGATCATTAATGCAGATATAGTATTTTTAATACCCATTTAGAATAATTCCATCCTTATTTATCAATCACGAATCAGATGAAACAGAAAATTACCAACAAAAACGAACGTCGATTGCTAATAAGTCAATTTCATGTATTAACCTATCCAAAATACGTGACTTTGACAAGCAAGCAAAGAGTTTGTGTGCCTCTTGGCGGACATTTTAATTTAGGTTTGACAGCACCTTGGTTAGTCGCCTATCCAAAACACATGACTTTGACAAGAAAACAAAGTGTTTGTGTCAATGTTTGTGAGCCTTTTGGCGGACATTTTTATTTAAGTTTGACAGCATCTTGGATAGTCTAATAAATAGGAAATTCCTAACCTAATTTTATTTGTGTGTTCAAGAAGCGACATACGTTCAGTCACCAGAACAACTGGTACTTTTAAATAGGTATTAAAAATTCTATAGTTGGAATTGCTAGTATAGGTAGACAAGAATAAACTACAGAGGATTGAATAGAAGCCTTCTGAGCAGGATTCTGAAGCTCATTTCCTCATTTTTCACAAACTTATCAGAGAAATGAAGCACAACAACACTAGAAACTCTTTTCGACGACCGCCATGTCAAGTCTTGTTAAAAACCGAATGAGGGATGAAGCAAACAAGGAGCTTCTGAGCTTGATGAAGTCAAATTGTTTCCTTCAATGAGTATCAAGAAAGCAAATGTATTGACGTTAAAGACATAAATGAGTCGATTGAAGATTCAAGGTCCAGAATAGAGATCAGAATACATCAGGGTCCTTATTCTCGAGATAGAGAAGCAGCGTTCTCATGATAAAGAAGGTTCTGTCTTCGTCACCCATATTTATATTTCCATAACAATAGCAAAGATAGAGTAATCGTTCTCATGAGAACGCTGTTCCCCAGTTTCGGGAATAGACATCCAGGAAGATATTTATCTGACAAAACCAAACCTGATCCAAAGCAGAATTGTCTGCAAATCCAAAAGCTAATCATGCAAAATGGATTTTCAAGTAAAAGTGTGATGAAGATACAAAGCTAGATTAGTGGCAAGACAATTTATTTAGGGAAAAAGTTTTGATTACATTGAAACATATTTGGTCGTAAATGAAGAAAACTTGATTTCACATCAGATGAATCCCAATCATTTGAATGAAGAAGTGCCTGATGAATTTGGACATGAATCAATTAGAGGTTTCAAGCTGCAGCAGTCGTTGTATGGAGTGAAACAAGCTCTAAAAGCTTGGAACATAAATGTTCTTACTCTTCTACGACTTTAGCGCAACACACAGTCAAATATTGAAAAAATCCAAAGACATTCTAATCTTCATGAAACTTATATGAATTGGGAAGTTTTCTGGGTATCGAAATTCAAAGAACATCAAAGGGCAGCCATATTAACAGAATCCAGAGAAAATTGAATTTATTGAAAAGAAACTTTTCAGAAAATTGATTGGTTATTTGATGCACTCCAGAAAGATAATGGGAAAGGAAAGAAAATCCAGTCTATGGATAAGTTGATGATAGCTAAGAAAGTAGAATTGATAGAAAATCGAAAACCAACTTGTTTTGAGTCCAGAGTTACCTGCAGGATCACACTGGGAAACAATTCCAACAAATCCAACAACATCTGGCCAGGAAATTCGTCTAGCGTTTATACTTTTTACGAAATTGGTAAAATGTTCAAAATTCGCTATATTGGACATAAGTGGAAGTTATTTCCATGGGACTATTTCTCTTTTTCATGCCACATTGCTCTCAGAGAAACTGGTATTCAAAATTTAAGTCGTAAAATGATGATGTTGGTTATTCTGATAGTCGTACCAATTTCAATCAATATGCACCTCATAAAATAAAAGGTATATATTTACAATAAATAAAAATACAATGAAATCATTCTTAAGGTGTTTTTGCTTTTTTCCTGTCGTCATAAACAAAAATACAAGAATGTCTCTCCAACAAGACAATATCCCTCTCCAGTTGTTTGAGACAGTTCTCCAATTTGGTTTTTTTCACCTTTTTCGGAAGAGTATCAGTAAAAATAGGCAATTGTTGTAAAAGTTTCAACGATTCTTCCCAATTGTGTTTCAGTCCGGCTAACATCTCCCGCTTCTGCATTCCCGTAATGTATTTGCATCTCAACGCTTGATGGCTGGTTCCTGTGCCCATTACGTCTTTAGTCAAGTGGCGTTTCAATTCGGCTTCTTCTTTGAATTTTTTCAGATATTTCGGATAATCACCGTAAACGGGCTTTTTGATGTAAACCGGCTCCAAGCCTTGCGCTACCGGATTAATTTTCGTACCGACTCTATCAACAACGATTTTCCGGTCCGGATCTTTGGCTTTCATTTCTTTAGCCTTCTGTATGTTACCTTTAACAAAATTCTTGGTCGATTCTACAAGTTTTTCATGAATTTTATGAGCTTCGTACAAATCTCGAACCAAAGGCGTATCAGCTTTGTGCTTCGCTTGCAGTTTCTCACAAATCCGTCCCGGTTTTTCCAATTCTATGGACTTCGTGTAGCAAGGCTGACCGTGGCCTTTTTTCAAAAACTTTTGCGGATCGGGTGGCTCTTCCTGCGGCACACCCATTGTGGCGTGAGTTCTTTGCTCTTTGGCACGCTCCGCGTGAAATTTGCCTTTATATAGTGGACCTCGTGGTTGGCGTGTGGGACCTTTGAACATATCAGTGATGACTTCATTGTGATTTGTGATGAAAACTAAAGACATTTTTTTTGAGAGGGTTGAATTACTTTGACAATATTCATTAAAATAGTTTCTTTTGACAATGCCAATGCTGACTGACGTGAAAAAGGTAGAATCTTACCAGGTATTCACCTCCATGGAAGAGTATATCATTTCAGAAAATTTCCCAGAATGTATAAAGGTGTAACGCACATGCATCTTCTCATGTCTGATGTTGAGGATCTTCAATGGTCATAGATGATCTTACATATTCATCCACCACACGGATTTTAAAGGTACCTGGATCAAACGTCAAACCTTCCTGGAAAGTTTATATTTCTGAAGTAAAGCTGGAAAGGGCGACAGAATCGAAATCGACCAATGGATGAGTTTCAGGCAAACTTACAGAGATATTATTTAGTTCATTTTCACTTACTCGGGCTTTGGACAAAAGGATGTTTGTTAATCAGGAAACTTGTTGAGTCTGCACTAAGAAAAAGTCAGTATGTATTCAAATAGGAAGCAGGTCCTCGCTCCATCAAAAACGAACCTACCCAAATCAACTCTTCCAAGAGTTCCAAGAGGGCTTTTAAACCATTTTTTGAACACACAAACTCTTCAATACTTAGAGCACAGAGGGTATTTTATTTGAGGATGTATGTGAATACTCTATACCTACGAATTTCGTACTATGGCCTGTTATATAAAAATTGCAATTTCGTATAAATATACGCCACAACACATATAACCAATCCAATCTAAGCAATAAATGAATTTTATCGATTCGCGCGATGTCTGACAGGCACATTTTCGCTTTTTGTGATTTTTAATTAATCAAAAAAGGCCCCATTAAATTTACAAAATGGTTTTTCATCGCCCGAGCCCCCGCTCGGACGGACGGGTACGGGGTGTACGCGCGGTTTGTTATTAATAGTTTTCTCACAAAAGACGATTTTTCATCGAGAAAAATTAACAGCGCTCAAAATGCGTTTCCGAAAGGCCAAAATAACAATTTATATGTGTGTGATCCGTCGTAACTAACGGACCGTGACAAATTCAAGGTGTTAAAACCCTCCCGACTATGACTTGGGGTTTCCCAGAATGCGGCACCATAAAGTCTGAGGGCTCTCTAGTCTTTCTAGATTTATTAGTTTTATGACAGGATAATTATGTAAATTATAAATAAATAAATGTCAATTTTTCAAGTGCTAGAATTTTATTAATTGAATCTTATTCTAAAGCAAAAATTCACTTGTTGACCGATTGTTTTGTTTCGGGTCAACAATAGCTAACAGTTTGACACCCCAACAAGTGTCTGTTTAAGAAGAAACAATAAACACTTTTTATGTATAGGAATGCATCGGTAAACAAAAGCATTTCGCAACTTTTGTTGTTCGGATGGAACGATAAAGGCCCCCAAACACGTTCCACTCTAAACTTTATTCATGTCTGTTTTGTATTGAGGAGAGTGAACATAATCTATGGACAATAAGCCTAATATTACCTTTTAACACAATACGCCGCTCCGGGATCACAATATTGCTATATAAAGAATATTGTAGTGATTCTATAGTATTCTTATGTTCATTGAAAAACGTGTGGCTTACTGAATTTGTGTGTATAAACAAGCAATAGACGATTTTGGTTTGGACAAAAAGATTTTTTTATGTGCGTGATTGTGTGTAAAGTGTCTTATTGTTAATTTAAAGGGACAATTTTGATAATAGACTTACTTTTGTTAGATGGGTTTGAGATAATATCGAAAGCTTTTGAAAATGGGTTAAGCTTTTATTTCCTTCCAGTAGTCTCTTGATTGGGATTTGTGATCATCATTTTTAACCATCATTTTGCATCGTTTCTCTGTGCATCTGACGGTCCCTGTAAGTAAAAAAAAAACATAATTTTTTTATTTGGTTAGCGCCAAACTCTGTAAGATTATACTAATTTGGGTACAAAGTTTGATTTTTTTTTCTAAAGGCAATCAAGAGCCGGTAATAGTCAACATTTTAATTTTTTCCGGATCTCGATTTCTTCGATATGCAGAAGAACATCGGAAAGAACTAAACGGCTTTATAGGTTTACTTTTTGGAATCAAATATTTTGAGAAAGAAATCAGTGATTCATTGTGAATAAATCGCCTCTGTTATGTTTTGAAATAGCCTTTCTACAAGCTGTAGATATTCGTCAATAATCCTCAATCACTCGCAAGATCCGTGCAAACTCACCTTAACATTGTCAAATTTTGACATAAATGTCAATTGATTTTGACGCTGGCTTGACGTGGCATGGCCCGGCCTATCTATAAAATGAGGCAAATTAAGATGGAGAATGTGGGGGATACCTATCTCTATTTATCTTATGGGCCAATTATGGAAATCTTTTTTTGTCTAAAAAATATTATATTTGAGGTAAGGAATATACCAAACCTAACAGCAATAAACTAGAGAGAGAAAGGTATCCCCCATTATATAGCTATCTTTGGATGCACTAAGAGAGATGACAAATGCCATATCCGACAACGGTCAGTGTCATTCCAGGTACGTGTAGTTTATAGTTCATTGTACCATCGTCACCAAAAGTAACTGGGACAGCATCATATTAGCTCTTGTACTATTAGGTCTGTTCGCAGAGAAATCACAAACCAGTCAGAGCAAATTTCATTGGTTGAAACTAGTTTTCTGACCGTTTTATGTGATTTTAGATGTCAGGTATTTGTCAAACTATGAATAATTTTAGTTTTATCTAGGTTAAGTTGAAATCGTCCAGGAGATTAATATGAACTATTTTTGTCCCAGTTACTTTTGATGACGATAGTACATCGTTTAGAATAGCAAATAACGGCCAAGACTGAAGTTATTATTTGCAATAACAAAAACCATTACAATTTCTCTCTACAACACAAATAAACCCAATAGTCCTTTTCACGTGGCTCCAGTTTAACAAACCGCTCAAATTCGAGTAGAATCAATGACGTCACTTTTTAACCGGGTTAGGAAACGGTATGTCATTTCTCTAACCAGCTCGGCGATATGAGGTGTATTTTTTCTAACAATTATCACTTTCAGTTTGATCACTTGCACGTCTGATCCTGATCACTTGTACTTAAAAAAACAGGAACTGATTAGTGATAACATTCGCATGCGCCAAGACCACAAGACCTAACCTAGCTTTTTTGTATTTCAAAAAAAAACATAAACAGAGTGGCAGTGTTTATCCCCATACAGCAATTAATTGAAAAAATAAACTAACAATAATTTCTCTGTATACAGTGTCATTACTTAAGTGTGCAACATATGGGATTTTTTTTCAGTAATAGCAAAATCAAAATACAAACAAGGCCAAAAGTTGGTGCATGTCTGATAATCATATGAGGTGCACTTAGAATAGTTGCAAGTCAAACAGCATACAGGGTAGCTCATAAAATATCAAAATTGTAGTAATATTTACTTAAATAAAATAAAACTTTTGCACTACAAGGAGAGTTTTTTTAATATGCATATTATCCTCAGTAATGTTTTAACTTGTTAAAAAAAAATTTACGACATTTTAAAGTTGTGTTGAATATCATTGCAACAAACATGAATTTTGTGATTCCATAAAAAATTAAAAATCTAAGTTAATTTTACAAATATGCTTGAATTTGAACAAAGTTATGTAAAATTGATTTGATTTTAATTAATTTTTGAAAGTATTAAGGGCGGAAATAAAAAATAAAAAAAATATAGAAATTATAGATTTTTTTCGAAAGAAAATAAAAAAAATCTTAGGAGGCTATGTTTTGGTATTTGGGCATAACTTTTAATTCCACACAACAACTTTTCTCTATAACATTTTGCTGAATTTTCTAAAATAAGGGTACTTTACAGTACAGCTTTGATATTGTTTGAGCTACCCTGTATGCTGTTTGACTTGCAACCATTCCAAGTGCACCTAATATGATTATCAGACATGCACCAACTTTTGGCCTTGTTTGTATTTGGGTTGTGCTATTACTAAAAAAAATTCCCATATGTTGCACACTTAAAAAATCACACTGTATATGGCAGTGGCGGCCCGTGACTTATTTTGAGGGAGGCAGCCCGAAAAAAAAAATGAGCGTCGTAGGTATTTTTGTAGCATTTTTACAGGGGAGGCACTGCCTCTCCTGACGAGCCGCCACTGCATTATGCGCTTTCCTTTTCCTTTCTATAAGATCTTGGATTTCCGTGTTGTTCTCATCAAACCAGTCTTGATGCCAGGAATGACAACAAACAAAAGGGATTTGCACTATGGCGGCTATTGAGAACAGCTGTTTGAAGTGTTTGGATCATTGAGGTTAGGAAGATAAAGAAGCTCTTCTTTCTTTTACGTTAATCGCAATGAGTGCGAGCGAGACAACAATCCCTCTGTATTGCTGGGTTGCATATATCAAAATTCGCGACACTAGCATAAAGCAGTGCGCCCATTCCAGAGTGTTAGTTTCAATGAACTATAGCCAAAAACTGGAATGCGCGCACATTGCCATATCTGCCCAAAAAATGAAGCCATGAAAGACAGATGCCACAAGGGGGAATGTTGTTTTTTTCTGTTGCTCGCTGACATATGACGTTTTCGAAAGTTTTGTCATATTTTCCTTCACAGGTTTCATCAATTGGAATACGTGTTGGAAGCAATTTTCGCCATTTAACATAATGAGTGCGACAAAAACAGGTATCCCCTCCGCAGCAGCCGCACTAGGCCTCACGTTCGTCCTTATGTGTTCGCATTCCAGTTTTTGGTTATAGTTCATTGGTTAGTTTAGTTCAATGCTTGTGCACTATTATTCAAAACAAAAGGTAAATCTGTGTACTGGAAAAATCCATATTGCCATAAACTGCAAAAGCTGTTCTAGGCCTTTCTAGGCCTGAAAACATGATATTATACATATTTGTTTAAAGAGAATTTGGAACTTATTGTAAATTTTTGAAAATACTATATTCGCTGGAAAGAAGCAAATCAAGAACTTTGATTAGTGACACTTTTATAGACCAATTCAAAGGTCAGCATGATCTTCGAACTGATCTAGAAAGAAGTTCCAGCTAATCCAGAGTATCCAAGACCTCGAAATACTACTCAAATCTCGAGAGTCATGAGTTTGGATGCTTATTATCTAAGGTTTTTCAACAATGTCTCTATATTTTGTGCAGCGCAATCACAGATTTGCTGAGATGTAAGAAGAAAGGTCAACAAATTCAGTGGACACCACAGGCTGAGGAAACTTTTCTCAAGAATTACCAATCTTCTGCTCCGGTGTTTGCTAGCCTAGATTATACGAAGCCAATTGTTCCTATGTATGATGCGTCAAACATAGTAGGACAGGGATCAGGGATAAGATACGAGGGACGATGGATTGGAGTATTCAAATGCAATTATGGCCTCTGATTTGGTTGCTGTACTGATTTCCATTGAAAATCAATACTAAAACAGCATAATGTTGTTTAGTGCTGCATTCAAATCATAGATGGTGCCACGATCAAAAGTCTCCCCTGCAACTGACCGGAGTTGCCACTTGTATTTCGTGACGTGTATAAGTAATATTAGGTGCCTAATGGCCATTTCCACCAACTATTTTAGGGGCCGCCCTAACGATAGGTATGCTCTAAACTGACATTCCTCCATGTAAAAATGTCATTTTAGGGAATACTTATCGTTAGGGCTCCCCTAAAATAGTTGGTGGAAACGGCCATAAAACAAGTTTTTCATGTCTAACTCAATTTCTCAAAAAGTTTATATTATGTGCTTGGTGCTTTTACTCACTTTGACCAGAGTCCCTTTTTCAAAATAATTAAAAATAGCCTTGAAAAAGACATTAAATAAAGTCGAAACGTCGGCATTTTTTAAAATTTAAAAGGAACTTTGAATTTTTTTGCCCTAAACCCATAACAGTACCTACTTCATTATGTATTTAATGCTGGGGAGAACTTCTGTGCAAATCTCCCAAATTTGTATTTTGTGTTAGGTATTACGTAAAATCATTCGAAACTTGTTTATGACTTGAAGCTTGCAGGATAGTCTTGGTGATGAATCTGGAAGTGTTGGTCAGCGATTCTATATTCCGTCACTCATCCAATTCCTGTGTTTTCATTTCTCTGTCCACTGTGGTAAACCTCGTAAGGAACATTATCCTAAATGTCTGTATATCACCTATATTTTCCTATAATCTCCATGTGTTTAACATCCACATTTTGTGATGTAGAACGTTTTTCGGTACCTAAAGAGCTTATTTTCGTATTGTAACTTCGTCCCTGGAACCTTGGCTGGAACCAAATCGTTACAATTCCACGTGGAATGACATTCGGGTCTATTCTGTAACTCAAATCGAATCGACAATCGAAAACTTGAATCGATAACTGTGGACATTTTTCCACAGTTATCGATTCAAGTTTTCGATTGTCGATTCGATTCGAGTTACAGAATAGACCCGATTATTGTTGCAACCTTACTAGTTGCAACATATAGGTAGGTAGTATTTTTGGGTTATCGCTAGAACAAGTTCGGAACTGTCAAGATTTAGTTCTAACTTGATTCATACATAGGATATCATTTTTTTACCAATATATGGTAATTTTGGTTTGTTTTGTGTTTTCTCTTAACCTAGAAAAATTCAAATAAACGTCAAAATACCACGAAGTGATCCAACTGATCAAAGAAATTTTATGATCACTTTGTATCAGTTGCGTTCAGAGGGAAGTTAGCAACATAGGTTTTTGAAGAATCACTTTCACTAATATCACTTTGATCACTGATAATTGACTAGAAAGAATACGCATATTGTTACGTTTACCGGTTAGAACAAAAAAAAAAAAAAAAAATTGTGGAGAACGGAGAACGGGTAAATTGTGACAGGCAGTGGCGTAGCCAGAAATTTCAAATCTAAAAACCAAAAAATGAGAAAGCAACCAGCCCGATTTAGATTTTAAATTTCAAAGGATAACGCACACCTAACATGGGATTTTTGGGCTCTATGGATTTTGCCCATTTTTTGATATGTTGTAGAGGATTTATTTCTTAACAACCTTTAAATAGGACGAAATCATGTAGGTATTACGGTCTTTGAGATATAAGCGTTGAAAGATGAACTTTTTCGCGACTTTTGGTGTGGAGAGTATACGAAATACAGGTGCTACTGGTGTTTATCAGTCAAAATATTGACAGGTTCACATATTTTACGTCAGTAACAAATTAATGTCAACATAGGCTAAGGCCGGAACCGCACTGGGGTCAATGTTGGCGCTACTGCGGTCCCGACCTTAGCCTATGTCGACATTTGTTAAGCCGGCTACAGACGGTCCGGCAGGCCTGTCAATTTCAACTGAACAGTTCGCCTGAAGGCCGGTTGCCGGATGGACTGATGACCCTACAAATGTTCAGGCGTATCTGATTCTTCAGTCTCAATCATCACGGCCTCTACTGACGACGACGCGTTATAAGCACTTTTTGGTTTGGTACTAGTATACATATTTATGAGAACAGTAGAGTCCGTACAAGAAAGATCGATTTCCTTCCATTTTTCTACCAATTTCTTGCCATGATCGTGGAAGTTTTTCGATTTGGCTTGCCGCAGGCACGACTCGCCATGATAAATAGCGATAAATTCCGCCAAACACCTGTTTTCTATTCCGCGTGACATGGCGTAAGCTCACTACTCACTACTGAAACTATGTAAAATGATAGCTCAACGGCCTGACAGGCGGACAGTGCCATATACACGTTCAGACTTGCCTTTGGGTACGTGAGGCCGGCCGGATGAACGAACATATTTTTGATTTTTCTCCGGCCACCGAACAGTCTGACAGATCGTCCGGAATATATACACGCTCAGGCGACCGGCCTTCACAGCCGTATTCACCATTGGGAGATTTGACTGACTGTTAACTATCAGACCGTTAAAACTTAACAGACTGTTATGAAATGTCGGTATTCACCGAAGATATATGCAGTTTGATTACAAACCTACTGTTAAATCAAAATGTCTAGAAATTTAGGTTGGTATAATTGCTTGAGCAGAGTCACTCTAACCTCAAAATTGTATTGTTTATTTTTCTTTTGAATTTTATTTTTAAATTCAAGAAGGAAATATCACAAATTAAGTGTATGCTGTGGTATAAGTATAAACTATAAAATGGAGAAAAAGAGATCTGCGAACTATACGCAGAGGGAAAAAGAATCATTGATTTCCTTAGTTGAAAAGTATCTTAATGTGATTGAGAATAAAAAAACAAACTCTGTGTTCAACAAACAAAAAAATGATTGTTGGGAGAAATTGGCATGGGAATATAACTCCATCCAAACAACTGGGTCAAGAACAGGACAACAATTAAAATGCTGTTACGAACAAATGAAAAAGATTGCAAAACAACACAAATCAGAGGACAAGGTATTTGACTTTCACGATAAAGAATTAGAACAACATAAACCTCTTGTTTTGAATTTTAGGTAGATCTATTAAAAACCGGTGGTGGGACATTCATTCCCAAGACCACTATATTGGATGAAAAGATTTTAATGCTCTTGAAAGATAATTACTTCACTATCGCCAATGAATATGATAGCAACAAGTCTGCGACATCAAAAGAACCTGAGAAAAAAAAACTAATGAAATTGGATTTCATCACAAGTCCCTCTACCAGTGCAGACATAAATAAGGAAAATATATATATTGTGTATCAAGATGAACAATCTGAAGAAATGGATAAACACCTTACACAGATTGAAGATGATGAAGCATTGAATAGCAGTGTGGCATGGAATAATAGGTTTGTTTCTGCAGAAATCACAAACTAGTCAGAGTGAATTTCATTGGATGAAACTGGTTTTCTGACTGCTTTCAACCAATGAAATTCGTTCTGAATGGTTTGTGATTTCTGCAGAAACAGCTCTAATATAATCGAGGGAGAGTTGGGAGAAATTGCTATTGAACATCAGCAAAAATATAGTGAACCTGAACCTAGTATCAGTTTATTGGCTGGGCCTAAAAAAAGAAAAATTGATTCTCGTACCCAAGACTCTTGCAAAAAAGAAAACATACAAAATAAGCAAAATAAAGAAAGTAAAATAATTGAGCTTAACAAAAAAAAAATAGAAGTTTATAATTTAAAATTGAATGTCTTGAAGACAATGGCAGAAACCGAGTTGGAACATTTGAAAGGAGCAAAATTAGACAACGAGATAAAGGAACTGATTAAAGAGAAGGAGAAAATTAATCTTGAACTGAAAAAAAATGAGTTACATAGATCTTAAAAAGATTTTTAATGTTAATTTTTTTTTAGATATAAATAATTGTGAAAAAGTACTTAAGTTTTTGTATCATAAATGCCATTTTTTTAATGCAAAAAGTATATTAAATACTGAAATAAAACATTTTGCTTGCAATCAAAGTTTTAAGTGAACATTGTTGAAATTATTGAATCCCTGGTAGCGGTATTTTGATGTCCAATCACTTGAAAGTTTTGAATTTCCTCCATTCCTGTAGGATCATCTTCAAATATTTCAATAGTATCTTTTTCCTCAAGACACATATTGTGTAATACAGCAGTTGCCACAATAATCTCACAGACAGTTTCAATTTTAAGCCTCATTCCTTGTGAAAGGCAAGGAAATCGTCTTTTCCAAACCCCAAATAGTCTCTCCACTGGGTTTCTTGTTTTTATTTGAGCATTATTATACCTCTGATGTGGTAACGTTTGAGGATTCAGAATAGGTGTTATTAAATACATTTTGCATGGATATCCTCCATCTCCAACCAGGCAATAGGGGGAAAATTCATTATTTTCAAAGCGAGCTCTGATGTTGGAGTCATTAAAAATTGTAGTGTCATGAACTGAACCCGGCCAACGAGCAACTATATCCATTATTTTCAAATCAACGTTCCCTACCACCTGTGTGTTGATACTGAAATAGTTTTTTTTGTTTCGATATACTTCAGCGTTGTGCCCTCCAGGTTACTGAATCTTTATGTGGGTACAATCGACTGCCCCTAAAAAAGAAATAATTATCAAACAAACAAAACGCACATTAAAGTTTTTTGATGTATGCAATCACAAAACACCAATTATCGCCTGGCATATACATGCATAAAAAAAGTGAGATAAGCAGGTACTGGCTGGTTTGTGATTACTGATTACTGCAGCATCGAAGCTAATGTTCAATAATTGAATATTTGTAAGTTAGGTAGGTACCTACCTATGATTCCAGGTAGCCTTGCCAGATTAAAAAATTTCAGAATTGTTTCCCTTTTTTGTTCCTCTGTTTCTGGCATTTTAATAAACTGTGCCCCTAGAGCAGCAATGTGTCTTGTGATTCGATGAATTATTCTGGACACAGTTGGTTGGGAGACATTAAAATGATCTCCAACGTTTATTTGGAATGATCCTGTTGCATAAAATCTCAGGCAGATTAAAATTTGGTTGATTTCTGTCGTTAATGGGTTCCACAACATTGTGTAGTAGATGTTCAAGACGTTGGAATGTAGTTTTATTTATTCTGAATCTCATTTTAAATTCTGCATCATCCAATTCTTCTAGTAAATTGATTCTTTGCTTGACACGTCTTTCGCGGCGGAAATTTTCTTCAGCTTCACTGTCTGATGACTCTGAAGACTCCATAAAATCAATTAGATCAACTCGATCGATCCTTTCCATTATAAATTATAATATATTTCAATAATTCTTGAATTGTAATCGCCTAGGAAATCCTTAAAATGAAAAATGAGAACTAAACAAACAATAGCGCAAAACCTAACCTCATTTTTTTCAATTTTAACAAACAGTTAACGGTTTACCAGGCCAAAATTCGAGTGTTAACTTATCAGAGATTTCAACTGGCTGTTAGGTAGTATTTATCAATGGTGAATACCGGATATGATTTAACTGACCAGTTAAGCAATTTAACAGTCTGTTACGGTATGGTGAATACGGCTGTTAGTCGGACTGTTCAGTTCAAACTGACAGGTCTGCCGGACCGTGTGTAGCCGGCTTTAGTGACGTAAAATATTTTGACCCGTCAATATTTTGACTGATAAACACCAGTTTTTCGTATACTCTCCATACAAAAAGTCGCAAAAAAGTTCATCTTTCAACGCTCATATTATCTCAAAGACCGTAATACCTACGAAATATCGTCCCATTTAAAAGTTGTTAAGAATTAAATTGTCTACAATATATCAAAAAATGGGCAAAATCCATAGAGCCCAAAAATCCCATGTTAGGTGTGCGTTATCCTTTTGCGAATTCGCAAAATATTGAACTCTGACAGATGTCACTTTTCTTGACAGTTTACTGACTACTATAGGGTACTAGCATGGAAAATTAAATTGATTATTGTTTATTGCAAACTGTAGGAAATCGAAAAAAAATCGTTACTTTTTTTTCATTTCGCCCAAATATGATTATTTCGGAAGTTATACAAATATTAAGTTTTGTATATATAGATATACTGAGCATGTGCGACGTCATAAAGTATTATACCTGATGACGTCATAGGCATATTTCATAGCGTTGTATCTCCGTCAATTTTTGACTAAGAAGAAAAAGAAAAAACACGTGTTGACTTATTTTTCATGGACTATCGAAATCAGCAATAAAAAAAATTGATGCAAGGGGCCTATTCGTGATTCGCTTGTCGATGTCAAGGTCGAGCACAACAACTTCGAAGGTCATTATTGCGCACTGGCACTGAAGTCGTGAGTTGCAAATTGCCTTAATTTGCGCAATTTTTGATCTTTTAGTTTTTCGTTACAAATCACTAAAAACAGAGGTACCTATACCATATTGAGGTCCAAGTGGCAGTAAATGACGTTAAATGTAAACAAAGACCAGCTGGTAATCTAGCCCTCCTAGTCGTTAATACGCCTACAAGGACCAGTGCGCATGTGCGGAGGACAAGATTGGATTCAGTTGAGGCTTCTGGGGAAAAAAAAATTCTGCTCATGGCATTTCATGACGTTTGATCATGACCATAAACCGCTATGGAAGGACCGAACCAAGACTACTCGATCTGAAAATGACCAGTTGTTCACGTTACTTGACGTTACTGCCGCTTGGATTTGAAAAAAGTATAGATGGGCCCCCACGAAATATATTTCTGGCTACGCCACTGGTGACAGGTGTAAAATTAAATGAAAAATTGTGTGTTTTCTTAATATTATTTCAAAGTTTCTACCTACCTAATCAATGGACGAACATGGAAGCAATTATCAAAGTTCAAAAAGCAGTTAACTACAGGGTAATTTAAAATAACATTTTTCTAATCGCTCGTTTTCAAGTGGCATTTTCAATGACGTCATCATTTGACAAACCGCTACTAACCGTATTACCCGATTAGTTTAAACTGGAGCCACGTGAAAAGAACTATAGAAAAGATGATGACTTAAATGTCAATGTCAAAATCAAGCCACTGTATAAAGGCTAGTTCACATAAAAAAGAGCTTCCGTGAAGTTTGAAATCGGATGAGGCTTGGCAGGGGGAACAGAAAAACTACATATGCGGAGTCTGCGCAAGGATTCGATAAAGCCGTGATGTGCATTAATAAAACCACAGTTTATAGGACTAATGCCAGATAATTCAATTTAAATTAACAGAAAGTGATTCTATTTGCTGTAACATTTACTTGCGAAATCCTCGACAACCAAATAAACAAATATATCACCTGTCGAAGATTTCACACTGTAGAAATATGATCCTAGCTAGAAACAAAGAAACACCGAAACAAACACCCAAAATTTAGACATTAATAATTCGTGACATGTTTACCATCAACTAATAATAAAACAAACAAACTGTTAAAAGTCGAGTATCGTGTTTACCGACCGCTACATTTCATATTTGTGTTTTCTTTCGTTACGGAAACGGACCCTCTTCAAGTATCCCCGAAATTCACAATATTACACCGACACTTGGCTACGACTTTTTGGGTCATTTCACACCCCATAATAATGTGTACGCGAGCCTAGCGGTTTTAAGTTACTTTGTCAACACCACATTTTTGTTTTAGGCGCCCAGTAGTCTCGACAGGTTTCACAATTTGTCTCAAAGCAAGCAATTTGACACTGATGCATTATAGGGTGACTTAGGACATGTTATGTTGCTCTTTTTGGAACAAACCTCCTGATAATTAAGAAAAGTGATGCATGATAATTATTGTCGATTTAGGCTCGAAAAGCCACGTGTTATAACGAGGCGTTTTTTTCCTTCAAATTAAGGTCCGTAGGTATCAAATTAAGTTACAAATTTCAAGCCAGCCCCCACTTCCACAATTAATTATAACAATTTTTCATACCTGACGGCCGATGCGTTTATTTTTTTTATTTTGGACTTTCTTTTAGTGGACGTTGATTGGGCCGCATTCCAGGTTGTCACAGAATGACTGAGTTGAGGTGGAAAAAGATGAGTCAGCGAATAACGATTGATAGAGACGCATCGTACAAAAGGGCGTAAATGCCTATTAAACACTTCTTAATAATGCTTCGGCCTGATCGGCCTTCCATTTTCGATGACTTGCTTGCTGATGGGCATTTTTCGTTCGGGATTTACGAAACGAACGTGCTCAGTCCACTTTTAATCTTTTAAATTAAATACCAAATAACAACTTTATTTTTACCAAGTTTAATTTTTTTTTCTAGATTTATAGTAGGTAACTTTGTTCTAACTCAGCAGAAAACCAAATTCTATAAAATTTGTGCTTATATATAATCGGAACTTTGTGTACAGAGTGGTTCCGAAATCATTCTTGGGATGGTTTTTTGGCGAGTTGGAACAGACCTAGTGATATCTCTTCTCTAGCCTGAAAGGCTGGTAAAAAAAATAAAGATCATGCATGATCCACTGGTTTAATCCTTAATTGCTAGCGAAACTAATGGCTGGTTGTGTTTCTCATGAGCAGTACGACCCACTTTTTCCTGGCAATAATCATCGTCCAGAAGGTTGAACTAAGTTTTAACATTCCAATCACATATAAACCGTATCACAACATGAACGACAACTTCTGAGAGAGATAGTAGATGAGTTACTTGGCAGGGGTATCATTGAGCTTACAATTTCACCATATGCAAGCACAATTTTATTGGTGAAAAAGAAACAAGGAGGTGTGCGCATGTACGTAGACTATCGGAAGTTGAACGCGATTTGCGAGATAGTAGGGATGCGCACGATGTATCGATGTTTTAAAAACATCGATTTTCTTATTTCGATGTTCGATGTTTATATCGATGTTTTTTTATTCGATATTATTAGAGAACATCGAT